AAATATTTAGATTTCGGTATTATATAACCAAGAGGTTGATCTGCCGCTAAGCAAAATCAACTAAACTATTCGTAATGCTAGCATTTTATATCAGCTCAAACACTGACGACTAGCGTGGGTCGAAGTTACGCATCTCTATCAGCCGCTAAGTAGGTATGGTTACATTTTGGAAATCTTTTGTTTTCAATCTATTCGGTGCCTACTTCCTTCAAGGACACAGCAGGCAAGCGCTACCCAAATGTTATGGGGGTGAAACGAATTTTCACAATAATCTCTGGCGTTGCTATTTTTTCCCTAATTGGTCTTGTCGGAACATCCCAGCGATAAAGGAAAGCCAGTCTGACACACAATAATTAGAACAACTTTTCCATGTTTAAGTCTATTCCAAAGCGTGACAATCTCAAAAGTACCAATATGGAACATATTGCTTATCGTGTCCGACTTACGCAAATAAGAAAATATGAAAATCGTATCATGACCTTTATGCCATAATAGTCTATTATTGTATGTACAAAGACCCTCTTCTGTCAATAGGCCTTGCATTAATTGCTGGCTACCGGCTCTTTCATTGCTTTCCGTGTTTTTTTAATGAATATCTGTCCGTAGAGGTTGATATGTAAAGAACATTTTAAAATATTTTGAGATCATTATAAAAAGGACACCTATCTATCTATCTATCTATCTATCTATCTATCTATGCCTGTTCAGGTCTATTTATCCAAGTATATTTCTTTCTTTCTTTCTTTCTTTCTTTCTTTCTTTCTTTCTTTCCTTCTTTCTTTCTTTCTAATAAAAGACAGAAGGCCTGACACAGTGGTGTGAAAGTGATTGAAGGCGGGATGCCAAGTCAGCACCGATAACATTTCAGACCGTTATTTTGTCGATAATATTGAGATATATAGCAAAAGCACCAGGCCTAATATAGCGGCAATATTTAACGCATGGACCAATGGTAGATTTATAACCGTTCAAGATGGATTCTCGTGAGAAAAATTGTATGTCACGACACTGTGAACCGACATCCATCTGTGCTCATATCTATTTCATTCTGTTAATATCTATCTATCTATCTATCTATCTATCTATCTATCTATCTATCTTATACTATACTAGTCTGTTCTTATTTATCTATCCATTTCAGCTTGTTCATACAAATCTTAACCTGGCAATATCTATCTATCTATCTATCTATCTAGCTAGCTAGCTAGCTAGCTATCTATCTAACTAGCTAGCTAGCTACCTTAGTCCTGGGTATGGCGATAAACTACACCCGGCATTACACCACGTCGAAGTGCCCTTATGATTTATACGGTGGAGCACCCAGTGAGGAACAATATCACAAAGCAGTTATACTTAATATAGCGAAAAAAAAGATTTACACCACACCGAAGTGGCCTATAGGTATTGTGCCACACTTATAACACAGGATCGAAAATATGGCGCACCTAGTAAAGATCGAAATCACGACCCTGTCCGAATTGATCTTAGCGAGACAAGCTTGAAATCATTACATCACATCGAGGTGTCCAAATAATTTACCAAGCTTAGCTTACATGTAGTGCATTGCCGAAAGTATGGATCACCATGTGAGGATCGAACTCACTACTCAACTGTAACTGATCTGCTAGCCAAGCTTGATAACCTTCATGTCGAAGTGTTCGCGTTGTTGTTGGCGTATATGCTTTCAGCCAATGTTTTTCACCTTCTATATCTTTTCTATCAGTTGAACTTCGGAACTTATCTATCTATCTATCTATCTATCTATCTATCTATCTATCTATCCTAGTCTGTTCGCATCTATCTATCTATCTATCTCGCTATCTCCATATCTAATATTTTTCTTAACAATCAGTCTACATTCCTTGCTTAGTGCCTTCTGATTTTGACTCATTTTTCTTTTATTTTTAAAGCAACATTATCCTTGTTCTTATCTCGCTTTAAGAATTTCATTCTTTCATTGGTCTGTCGTCTCTGACTTTTTTGTAATTTCCAAAGCTGTTTCCTTAATTCATAAGTTTTCAATATCTTCTTTCTCTTTTCAATTTATATCTTTCTAATTGCTGATGGCAATATTTGATGGCTTGAAATTAAGTAATATATATCAATAACTAATATATATATATATATATATATATATATATATATATATATATATATATATATATTATATATATATGTCTTCATTGTAACATGTTTCATTGAATAATTTACATAAAGTTTGTCTACTTATTTTCAATTGATCCTTTCATATTCACAGACAAAAGTTTGTAGTGTCATTATTAAAGGAAGAGAGTAATTTTTCTCTTCCTTTAATAATAACACCAAAAAGCTTGTGCGTGAATATCAAAGGATCCAATTGAAAATAAGTAGACAAAACTTGGTGTAAATTATTCAGTGAAATATCTCTCTCTCTCTCTCTCTCTCTCTCTCTCTCTATATATATATATATATATATATATATATATATATATATATATATATATATATATATTTAAAATAGAGTAGATAAGTCAGTCAATAAAACAATGTCAAAGAAAAAACCTTTATTAAGGTTCCAAGTTCGGAACTTTCGAACACGGCTGTGTTCTTTATCAGTGGATGCGAGAAATAAACAGAGGGACAATGGAAACTATCCAACATTAGTTCTTGAGGCTGGGTTGCGTCTGCTTGTAGGTGGAATTAGGAAAATCAGTTCCCTATTTGATTTCTCACTGTGCGAATCTTTATGTGAAAATAACCTTAGATTTAAAACAAAATGTGATTGGTGGTGGGTAGAAGGGGAGTGAGATGTTGAACATAGAGAAAAATGGTTATAGGACCAGGGTTGGGGACGGTATTAGTGTTGAAAGATTTTGTGTTACGATACAGTGTGGGAATATAGCGAGATTGTCAATAAAAATAAAATGAAAGAGAAAAAGAGAAAAAAGAGAGAGAGAAAGAGGGAAGAAATAGTACAAAAAAGAAGATAAAGAATTCTTTTAGGAAAATCATTGTTAGAAAATGGAGGGTGCGGTAAAAATAAATTGAAATAAAAAAAATAATAACAAAATACTAAAAATAGATATAAGGATAATATGAAAAGGGGAAAAACATAGAAAAATAGATGCGTTGTGTATCGAGATAGGATCTGAGTGTAAAAAGGCAATAAAAATAAAAGAAAAAAGAAAAAAAAAGAGGAAAGAAATAGTGCAAAAACAGGAATAAAGAATCCTTTTGGAAAATCATTGTCAGAAAATTGGGGGTGCGGGAAAAATAAACTGAAATACAAACGTAACAAAATACTACTAATAATGATAATGACAATATAAAAAAGTCTGAGATCAAACATACAAAACAAGATGTCCTATGAACATCTAACAGTATGTATATATATACTTTGCTACCACAATCCTTTAGGGACAATAATTAGTTGTTTCCAAGTGATGAGAAAGAGAATGACTGATCTTGTATATGTAAATTTCTATAAGTTATATCCATGTTGTCTTCTAGACTAAAGTGTGAGGCAAATTCCTTTAGATAATTTTCATTTTGTCCTTTAGAGTGGATTTCAGGGTTTGTCAAGGTGGGGTTTTGTCACCTGGTTAATGTTCATGAATGTTTTTCGTACTGATTTCATTACCCTTTCGTTTGACTTTTGTTTTATTTACCAACTTATCTACTCTATTTTATAAACTATATGAAGCACACGTGGATTCTAAATATATATATATATATATATATATATATATATATATATATATATATATATATATATATTAAATAAAAATTAAATGAATGAATCTGAAAAAAAAAAATATATATATATATATATATATATATATATATATATATATATATATATATATATATATAACAGTGGACAGTGAAATCAACACTCAGAGTCTGTTCATGCGAACAAATATTAATGTTTATTGACTTACAAAGAAGGTTTAAATTAAATATTAAATGAAATTAAATGAATGAATCTGAAAAAATTAAAAAAAAAATCAAGAGATTATGGGAGTACATTTTTGAGCGTTCCCCCCTCTCACCCCATCTCTGTCTCTATCTATCTATCTACCTATCTATCTATCTATCTATCTATATATATATATATATATAATTATTGACATGATGAACAATACACAAATGGTATAATAAAATGCCCAAATAAATTGCAATTTAAAAACAATTGTAAATATTTTTTTAAAAATCCAGATATTTTAAGACGAAATAAACATGGACAATTTAATATATAAGAATATGGATGCTTAAACTGGTTAACATATTTGGGATCGTGGATGTTATGCCGTTGGCACGCATTGCTAGTTTATTTTTGTGGGTAATGTTGGTATCTTTTGTATTTTGTAAGCCTTTCTCTTTGCGTTGTGAACGAAGTGATAAGGACATTGGGAGTTTTTGAATGTGCCTTCTATGTGTGTTTCTTCTTTGTGTAGGTATTGGGGGCTGCAGATTCTTAATGCTCTTAGATAGAGACCTATAATTATATCTGATTCCCATAAGGGTTTTAGAAGTGATTTTGTCTATTAGATGTGATGTGTATCGTGTATGATTTTATTGTGAAAAGATTGATTGGTTAATAAAATATGACATTATCTATCTATCTATCTATCTATCTATCTATCTATCTATCTATCTATCAGTTTAAATAAATAATCAGTATGGTGAATATAACAGAATATGCAAATGAGTGAATGTTGGAAAATAAGAAAAGCATGAGTCCCGGAAACGTGTAGCGGTGTAAATATATTTCCCGTTAAGATTGAATGGTGTGACTTCATAAGCAACATTAACCTTGAAATATTTACAGTTCCTTAGAATATATGTATAAAACGCAAACAACATGGAGTATGTTGCAAAGAGTGAAAGCCAGGCGGAAACAGCATCCGTTTCGTTGTACTCGCCATATTTGAAACCAGACGATTAAATGTCAACAGAAAAAAAATCTATTCATCTTGTGAAATACTGCGTGGTCGTTTAGATTTTGATGTAAATATGTTTCAGTCTCGAAAATATTTGAACCAGGATATATATCTCCGGAGTGGCATGACTTTGTTGAGACTATTACTGCGGATACATTTTGGATAGATAGATAGATAGATAGATAGATAGATAGATAGATAGATAGATAGATAGATAGATAGATATGAAGAGACGGAATTAGATAAGTATGAAGTGACAGTTTTATATGGATAGATTAATGGATAGAGATGAAAAGACAGAAATAGATAGATAGCTAGATATCTAAGTAGCTAGCTAGATAGGAAGAGACGGAGATAGATAGATAGATAGATAGATAGATAGATAGATAGATAGATAGATAGATAGATAGATATGAAAAGAAATAATAACATAAATATGAAGACTGTTATATAGATAGATAGATAGATAGATAGATAGATAGATAGATATGAAGAGACAGAGGTAGCGAGCGAGATAGATAGATAGATAGATAGATAGATAGATAGAAACAAAGTCTCAGGATTAGGTAGATAGATATACAT